TGTCTTCCTGGTGGAATTTTCCCTTGATGAGTATGAAGTGTCCTTCCTCATCTCTTTTGATTAATTTTGGTTGAAAGTCTATCAGATATTAGAATGGCTACTCCTGCTTGTTTCTTGGGTCCATTTGCTTGGAAAGTCGTCTTCCAACCTTTTACCCTCAGGTAATGTCTATCTTTGTGTCTTAGGTGTGTTTCTTGTATGCAACAGATTGCTGGGTTTTGTTTACGTATCCATTCTGTTAATCTGTGTCTTTTTATTGGAGAGTTGAGTCCATTGGTGTTGAGATAGATTAATGACCAGTGGCTGTTAGATCCTTTGATTTTGATGTTGGCTGTGTTCATAAGGTTGTGTGCTTGGTTGCTTTTTGTTTTGCTGTAGTAAGGTTAATTATTTCCTGTGTTTTCTTGACAGAAGCTAATTTTCTTGGGTTGTATTTTCCCTTCCAGTGTCTTCTGTAATGCTAGATTTGTGTGTAGGTATTGTTGAAATTTGTTTTTGTCATTGAATATCTTGTTTTCTCCGTCTATGAGGACTGAGAGCTTTGCAGCGTGTAGTAGCCTGGGCTGACATCTGTGTTCTCTTAGGGTCTGCATGATATCTGTCCAGGCCCTTCTGGCTTTCATAGTTTCTGTTGAAAATTCAGGTGTGATTCTAATGGGTTTGCCGTTATATGTTACTTGGCCTTTTTCCCTTGCAGCTTTCAGTAATTTTTCTTTGTTCTGTATACTTACTGTTTTGATTATTATGTGGCGGGAGGATTTTCTTTTCTGGTCAAATTTGTTGGGTGTTCTGTAGGCCTCATGTATCCTTATTGGCTTCTCCTTTAACTTGGGGAAATTTTCTTCAATGATTTTGTTGAAAATATTTTCTGGGCCTTGGAGAAGGGAGTCTTCTTTTTCCTCTATTCCTATTATTCTTAGGTTTTGTCCTTTCATATTGTCTTGGATTTCTTGGACGGTCTGTGTCAGGAATTTTTTGGATTTAACATTTTCTTTGACAGATATGTCGATTTCTTCCATTGTATCTTCTACACCTGAGATTCTTTCTTCCATTTCTTGTATTCTGTTGGTTATGCTTACCTCTGTAGTTCCTGTTTTCTTCCCTAAATTCTTCCTCTTCATTATTTCCTCCATTTGTGTTTTCTTTAATTTTTCTAGTTCTATCTTCAGGTCTTGAGTTGTTTTGTTTACTTCCTTCACCTGTCTGCTTGTATTTTCCTCTTTTTCTTTTAGTTCCTTCAACTCTGTCTCTTTTATTTCTTTCAGTGATTTAATTATTTCTTCTCTGAAGGCCACAAGCTGTTTGGCTGCATCTTCCCATATTTCTTCACGGATGGCCCTAATCTGCTTGTCTTTATCTTCCTCCATTTCTTTACGGATAGCCATGATCTGTTTTTTTTTTTTTATCTTCCTCTAATTCTTTACCTATTTTATTTGTTTCCTCTATCATCCTATTCATCAACATAGATGTAAGGTCATCTTCTTGATTTTCTATTATGCTGCATTGTTCAGGGCTGTTCGCCTCTGGATGGCAGGGTTCTGGAGATGCCATATTGCTCTGTCTTTTGTTGGTTGAGCCTTTACGCTGACCTCTACCCATTGGGCTGATTTAGGTGTTGGCTGTTAGTTTCTGTGCTTCCTGGAGTCCTGAGGTAGGGAGTATCTCCTTGGCCGGCAGATGATTTTTCCTGAAGGAGTCCTTCTCTGCTTTTTGGTTATGGTCACTGTATGGCCAGTGTTTCTCAGGAGTTGCCACTGCTCACCTAGGTTTATAGCCCTGAGTAGTAGCTGTGGTCTATGTTAGGCAGGGGGGGATCTCCTCTTACCCATAGAAGTTCTCAAGACAGCTGCCCCACTGCTGGGTTTCTTGTTATAAATTTAGTGTGCTCCTGCTCACTAAATTTCCATGTACAGTCCTCTTGAAGAATCTGCTGATTCCCTAGCTGTGGGGTTTTCTCCCAACAGGGAACCTCAGTCTGTTATCCTGGGGCGCACAGTTCTGTCCGGGAAAGTGGGAGGTGCACTCAGCAATCTCTGGGCCAGAGGCTGATTGCTCTGCTCTGGACCTGGAGAATGTGCACCTAGGTTGAGTTGTCGCCTGGGGGCACTGCTCTGGTCTGGAGGCTGGGTGCCTCACTCTGGACCAGAAGCTGTGTGTCTCTGTCTGGGATGGCGGCTGCAGGCACTGTTCTGGTCCAGACGCTGTGGGTGCAGCCCTTTTGAAAAACCAGGGATTCCCACAGTTTTAACAGTCTAGCTAGGAATAACTGGTTGATCCTTGGCACAGTATCTGAGGGCTGCTGTAATGGCTCTCTGGCTTTTGTAGGTCTGAGGATGCAGCTGTGTGTCCCAGTGCCCTAGGGGAACTCAATAATGGCGGCAGAACACAGTGCTCCTGCCTGCACTAGAGTCTGCGTGAGTCCAGGAAGTGTTTTGGTGCTGGGTGTCCTAAGCGTTAGAGCTGCTGACCCCCTCCGCTGGGGGTTTCCTCCTGCCAGAGACACGCAGTCTGGTGCCCTGGTGCCCTGGTGCCCACAGTTCTATCTGAGGCAGCGAATCAGGCGCGCAGGCAGGCGCCTGTGTCCCGGCTCTGGGTCCAGACTGGCTCTTGGGGCACCTGCGGAACCTGAGTCTTTTCCAGGGGATGTCTGGGTAACCTGAGGTTGGTCCCAATTGTTTCCTGCTCTGTGGGGTTATCTCTCGACTGGGAAATCCAGTCTATGGTGTTGTGGGCCCACAGTTCAGTCTGGGACCGTGACCAGATCGCGCTGGTGGGTAGCTCTGGGCTGGCGACCAAGTGCCTGGCGGAACCGGGATCTCTTCTGCGGTTTAGCCAGGTGAGTTAAAGCTGATTGAATCCCCCACCGTGGGGTATCCTCTCACCTGTGAAACACAATCACTTGTGTTTTATGGCCGCGAGTTCTGATTGCTGGTCACTGTGCCAATCCTGCTGTGCTGCTCCTCAGAATGAGAGTCCTCCCGGCGCCGCCATCTTGCCCCGCCCCCGCAAGAGGTTTATTAACCATTGCACAATGGGGTCACCCCTGCCGGTCAGCAAAGACAAAGGCCTTTAGGTTTTTAAAAGAAAAATTGTGGAAAATTTGAAGTTGCAGTTTTGGCAATTTAGGATTGGATGAGGAAGCTATAAAGTAAGATAATTGGTTAGTCTTAGGTGCTCAAGCTTGGCCAGTCCTGCCAAGTGTGGATGCAGCTGCAATTTAAGGTGGGGATGGTTAGCTCATCCTTGAAGATTAGGGGCTGCGGACTTTTGGCTGGAGTTCAAAAGCTACTCAGAAGAAGTCTGGGTTTGTTGCTAAGAAACACTATCTTGAAGGCAAGGGTCTGGTCGTTCTTTTTGCTGAGTGAAGGTCATTGCTTGCTTGTTTTTTTTTTTTTTTTTTCTATCTGTCCTCACAGATAGGGTCACATTTCTCCATTTTCTGGAAAGGTACTAAGAGGCTTTAGCTTAACCTGAACCTAAAACTCAAAACTATAGGCTTTAGAAGACATACAGGTTACAAAGTTAGTCTAACCCTTCAGCTACACATGGACAACTTTTCCTGGAGAGCATCCTGAACATGCCAACATCTTAGTATAGGGCCTAGCAGCCCAAGTTACTTTGGTCTCATGACATTTCCATAGGGAAATGTGTGTTTTTTTTTTTTTTTTCAATCTCTTCAGTAGGAAAAAGAAAAACAAATTCTACTCTTTGTCTGGGAGTGATAATATGTATCACTACCACCTTCCATTTGGAACGAGTAATGCATATGTATGTGGTTTTATAGACTGTTCCTGAGCTGAAAGTGTTTATTAGGCCAAGAGATTTCTGATGAACAACTCTTTGAAGTATTTTTTTTTTATTATAAGACATGCCATCAGCAAACAGGAATACTTTGACTGCTTCCTTTACTATTTGTATTTCTATTGTTTCTTATTCTTGTTTTATTGCTCTAGCCAGGGCTTCAAGCACTATATTGAATAACAGTAGCAAGAGTAGGCACCTTTGTCTCACTCCAGATTTTAGAGGAAATACTCTTTTTTTTTTTTCCAATTTACTATGATATTGGCCATAGGCATAGGAAGCATATAGGTACTTGTGTTCACAGATAAGCACAAGGAAAAACAGGAATGTCAAGCATGTAGGGTTGTCTCTTCAAAATAGACTGTTTTCCAACCAGGAGGCTGGGAATGGATGTGGTTAATAGCCTGGTGGCCTCTGCATGGGTAGGCCACACTGATCTCTTCAGACTCTTGCCATGAGCTTATTTATGTCAGTCAATCAATAGTGCTACCCTCCCCTAGATCCTTGTCCTGAGCATTGTTTACCTTAAGCCTACTTGCTCAGTTAACCTATAAAACTCATCTTTATGGAAGATACCACTTATATTTTTCAAGAGTTTCAAAGTAGTCATGTCTTCAGCTTTGTTGTACATATGGGATTAAGTTATTTATCATAAGAAACTTTCCCCCAAATTGTGCTGTGCTTAAATATGCCTGAAATACACAGCCTGGAACCAACAGCAGCTACTGAGTCATGTGGAACCAAATTTCCTCCTTGCCTTTTATGGATGGACACTCTGCTGGCCGTGGTGTTTCCAGAGAACCCCACATATGTGTTTTTTTGTTGTTTATAGCCTTTGCAATGTTGAAGTGTGGACCTGTACTCCTACTCTATTAAGGAATTTTATCTTGCAGAGAGATTGAACTTTGTTGAAGGCTTTATTGGTATCAGTTGAGCTGATCATGTGATTTCTGTATTTAAGTCTATATGCTGAATATTATTACCCTTACCTATTTACCTATGTTGAAACAACATTGGATCTTTGGAATGATACCAACTTGGTCATGGCAGATGGATTTAATGGGTTTTTAAATTTGGTTTATAATTTTTTTATTCTTCTCTCATATATCCTGACCACAGTTTTTCCTCCCTCTCTTCTTCTCAGTCTCTGCTCCCCACCTCCCTTCTCCTCCAGATTCACCCCCCTTTGTCTCTCCCAGAAAAGAGCAGGCTTTCCAGGGACATCAAGCAAACACTGCATTACAAGGTACAATAAGACCAGGCACATCAAGGCTAGACAAGGCAATCCAGTAGTAGGAAAAGTGTCTCACGACTAGGCAAAAGAATCAGGGACAGCTCCTGCTCCCACTGTTAAGATTTCCACAAGCACACCATGCTACTCAGCTATAACATATATATGGACAGAGGATCTAGGTCAGACCCCTACAGGCTCCCCGATATCTGTGAGTTTTCATGAGTCCCAGTCAGTTGATTCTGTGAGTCTTGTCCTAATGGTGTGTCCCTTGCCCCTCTGGTTCCTCAGATCCTTCCTTCCTCTCCTCTGCACAACTCCCTGAGCTCCTTCTAATGTTTGGCTATAGGACTCTGTATCTGCTCCCATCAGTTGCTGGATGAAGTCTCTCTGGTCTCTTTGATAATGATCATCTTCTAGGCTGTGGTCCCAGCACAGTCTGCAGGCAGGAAAACTGGAGGTCAAAGGTTTTGTGACTGGGTTGGTATCCAAGTCCTTCCACCTGAGGTCTTGTCTGGTTGCAGAAGATGGCTGGCCCAGGCTCCATGTCCCCCATCACTAGGAGTCTTTGCTCCTAGCCTCATAGATTTTATGGAGTTTCCATTGCACTAGGTTTCCACCTTGCCCTGAAATGCCCAATTTCATTCATTTCCCCTAATATTTTCTCCCTCGCTCTCCCAACCTGGTCCCTCTTATTACCAATCCCAACCTGCTCCTAGTTCACCTACAATTCTATTCTAGTTCACCTTTCCAGGGGGATCCATGCATTCCCCTTAGAGCCACGCCTGCAGGGAGTTATTTTTATTAGCCTCTCTGGGTCTGCGGATTGTACTATTATTGTCTTTTACTTACAGCTAATACGCACTTAGGAGTGAGTATATACATGTTTGTCTTTCTGGGCATGAATTACCTCACTCAGGATGATGGTTTTTTTTCCAGTTCCATCTGTTTGCTTGCAAATTTCATGACGTAATTGTTTTTAACAGCTGAGTAATTTTATTGTATAAATCTACCACATTTTCTTTATCCATTCTTTAGTTTCTGCCTATTATGAATAAAGCTGCTATTAACATAGTTGAACAAGTGTCTTTGTGGTATTATAGAGCATCCTTTGAGTACACACCTAGGAGTGGTATAGCTCAGACTTGAGATAGATTGAGTCCCAATTTTCTGAGAAACTGTCATATTAAAGCCCACTTTAATCAGGGAAATTGGTCACCATGTGGGTCCTTGAGATTGAATGAAAGTAGTTGGCTTGACCAGCAAGTGTCTTTACCCACTGAGCCATCGACTTGTATGGGAGGGGTCCTTCTCTTGTCATGTCCTTCCCTTGTCATTTTGGATTCTAAATGCCTCTTGTATTTGACAGCTTTCTCTAGATTTGATCATCTTACCCCGTGTCTGCTTTCTTGTTTATCTTCTTTAGGTGTATAGATTTCAGTATATTTATCCTATCGTAGAGGTCTATATAAGTGAGTATATACCATGTGTGTCTTTCTGCTTTTGGGATACCTCACTCAGGATGATCGTTTCTAGGTCCCACCATTTGCCTGCAAATTTCATGATTTCCTCGTTTTTAATTGCTGAATATTATTCCACTGTGTAAAAGTACTCCATTCCTCAACTGAGGTACATCTGGGTTGTTTCCAGGTTCTGGCTATTACGAATAAAGCTGCTACAAACATGGTTGAGCAAATGTCCTTGTTGTGTAATTTAGCATTTTTTGATATATGCCTAGGAGTGGTATAGCTTATTACCATTTATCTGTTAAGTTCTCCAAGATACATTTATTTGTTTGTGGCACCCAGGGTACCACATGCACACCTGGCAGACCCCTTTCCTCTAAGCTATCTCCCCAGATAGTAACTTATCTGTTGGGGGGGGTGTATGGATGTGTACGATTATATGTGCATATATGTCTGTATTTATGGGTGTGTGTGTGTGTGTGTGTGTGTGTGTGTGTGTGTATTTACAGGGAAAGTTGTGTGTGAGTCTGCATTTATGGTGCATATGCAGGTGAATGAGTGTCATGTATGTATGTGAAGGTCAGAGCACAGTCCTGGAAGTTGGTACTGATGTCCTTCCTTGAGGCATCCCCCTCCCAGCCTGACACGGGGTCTCAATCTATGCACCACCCATTGAGCCTTTTCCCCATACTTTTTATCTTTTAATTCTTACTTGTCTTTTTTTCATAATTCTGTAGAAATCACCTGTGCTCAGCCAAATATTTCACATGGAATAATTATTTCTGGACTTAGAACTACCTATAAACATAAGGATGCTATTATGTTTGCCTGCAAGAAAGGATCCATCCTCAGAGGCAGCAATTTAATCCGTTGTGAAGCTGATGGCAACTGGAATCCTTCTCCCATTTGTGAACTCAGTAAGTATGGTCCATGAAGGAGTTTGTTGTTTGGCATCTAAAGATGATGTGTTTATGTGGACATAGTTGCATGTCTAGATCCTAAATCACAAAAATTTTAATTTAGATTAATAATTTTATCTTGGCCTCTTGTTGGAAAGAAGGATGGACTTAGTATTCCTTGCAAGGTCACCCATCACACATGGTTGCTCATGCTATAGTCCTAGAGAAGCATTTACATTGTAGATGTAGATTAGTATGCTTATTTCATGAATTTTTGGCAGTTTATAGATAATTGCCTAACCAAATGATTTTGAAAGATGGGTAATAGAATGTCCCTTTCTAATTTGTACAAAAGTGTTATATGTACTAGATACTCTAAAACACTTAACTTGTGAATCCTTATAGGAGTGATAAAAGTTCTAATGTTACATGGGGACCAGTCTTGGTTCATAAAAAGAATTACAGCAATCAGTCAGTTGTGGGAGGTATTATTGCCCTAACTTGGCAGATGAGGAAACACTTCAGGCTGAGTGACCTGTCAAGGCCTGCAAAGGGGAGGAGGCTCCTGATGCCCTGTGTGCTTAGATTCGCACTCGGGAGGCATTGTGAGCCTTTATCTGAGGGCTCTGAAACAGTTGGACCAGCAAGTAGCAGGGCCTATCTCTATCAGGAGTGGCATCTGTGAAAATGACCAAAATTAGTAAAGAAGCCTTTCAGTGTGTTGGAGAATAATCAAAGAAGTTACAACAAGTGGAGAAACGTGTTCATCAAGTTCATGGACACTTGATAGAAACATTGAGAGGCCTCTATATTGAACTAGCAACACTAACTCTTGAGAACTGTTTCTGTAGACTCAGAAATGGCAGTTCCCCAGCTGCTGTTCAGTAAGTGATGTGCTTGGGATGGCCTGTTATTGAATATTGTGAATTTTCCCAAGTTCCATGCTGTGAAAGGCTTGTTCAGCAGATGTCAGTAGGCAGACGTCTGGTCTGTTCCTCCGTCCAATTTCCGTTACATAAGAGAGGGTCCAGGTGAGGTAGCTTCAGCAATTGCATCCTCCTGTTCTGAACAGCTCCATCTTGGAAGGGAAATACTCCAGCAGGTTGGCCAGCAAAGTGCCACCTCCAACTTCCCATCTAATAGACGTGAAAGCCAGCAAATATTGATGGCTTTCATTCTCTTGACTCTGGACTGCAGAGTATGTGCACTTTGTGGTGGGTATGGCTGGATGTGGGACTATGCTAAACAGTGTACGCCTCCAGGGGTTTGTTTAAAAAACTTCAGAGATTGAAGGATAGCCATCGTGCATACTACTACAAAGGCAGGTCAACTAGGATCTCCACAAGAGTATCAAAGAGAACAATTAGTTGTTCCAGGTAGTTCAGACTACATGTATGTGCAAGGCCATGCTTTCTGATGCATGGTATTAAATGTCACATACTTGAGAGAAACAGATTCAACTGAGCCATTACAGTCAAGACACAAACAAACAAGCAAAGAAGGGAAAAACAAGTCTTGAAGGTGATGAGGAAAAAATCGTATTCAAATCTCTATTATGTTGTACATCCAGTTTTCAACAAATAATGGTCAGATACAAGGAAATCAGAAACAGTAACTCACACAAAGGCAAACGTGGCAATAGAAATGTCCCTTTTTTGTGCCAAATATAAGAATGAGCAAAAAAGATTTTTTTCTGTTTTTGTGGTTTTATTGGGGTTCATCATGGGTAGTAGCTGTCACTTTAGCCTGTGCCCCTCCCACTGCAGAAAAGATTTTTAAGATTCTATTATAAACAGGTTTAAAAACTAAAGGAAACACTGTTTAAAGAATTAAAAGAAAGCTTAATGACAGTGTCTCACCAACAAAAATGTCAACAAGGATAAATTAAGAATGAAATGAAAGTTTGAGAATTGAAAACCACAGTACGAAATGGAGAATTTACAAGAGGAGCTCAATAATAAACTCAAGAAAGAGGAATAGAGAATTGATGACTTCATAGATAGAAATGCTAGTGACTGTGTTATTTGTAGCATAGAGAACAAGAAAAATATTAACAAGGGTTTCAAAAGAAAAAAAAGAGATGAAGCAGGAGAAAATTATTCAGAGAAAAAGAGATCAAATATTTTCCAAATTTGACACAAATATGAATCAGAAATTGTGGTTCATTTACACAATGCAATACTGCTCAGCAATTAAAAACAAGGAAATCATGGAATTTGCTGGCAAATCAATGGAACTAGAAAAGATCATCCTGAGTGGGGAAACCCAGAAGCACAAAGATTCACTTTCTCACATTTAAGTGGATATTAGCCATATAATATAGGCTAAAATCTACAGCCCTAAAGAAGCTAAACAACAACAAGAAGCTTAATCCTCATTCAAAAGGGCAAACAGATAGACAGCGGGAAAAGACAGGAACAGGACAGGAGCCTACCACAGAGGGCCTCTGAAAGACTCTACCCAGCAGCATATTAAAACAGATGCTGAGACCCATAGCCAAACTTTGGGCAGAGTACAGGGAATCTTATGAATGAAGGGGAGATAGAAAGACCTGGAGGAGACAGGAGCTCCACAGATCCACAGAACCAAAAAACTGGGGCCTAGGGGGCTCAGCAGAGACCAATGCTCCAACCAAAGAGTATAGATAGAGAGGATCTAGACTACTGTATTCAGATGTAGCCCATGGCAGCTCAGTCTCCAAGTGGCTTCCCTAGTAAGGGGAGAAAGGGCTGTCTCTGATATGGACTCAGTGGCTGGTTCTTTGATCACCTTCCCCTGAGGGGGGTGCAGCCTTTCTAGGCCACAGAGGAAGACAATGCAGCTGATGAGACCTGATAGGCAAGGGTCAGATGGAGGGGGAGGACTAGGGAAGGGGCATAGGAGAAGAAGAGGGAGGGAGGGTGGAACTGGGAGAAGATGAGGGAAGGGGCTACAGCTGGGATACAAAGTGAATAAATTGTAATAAATAAATATTAAAAATTTTAGAATATTTTAAAAATCTATACATTCGAGAAGCTCACTTGAATTTAAGGTTACTTTTCAAAAGACCTGAAGATACCATAGTGAAAATATTTGAAATGTAAAAAACAAACAAACAAACAAACAAACAAACAAAAACCCAGAAAATGCTTTCAAGAGGAAGCAGCAAGAGAAAACTAGCACATTAACAAAATTAACATATAGATTTTTATTAGAAATGATGGAAGCTATATGGCAGTGAGAAGGTATAGTCAAAGTAAAGAAAAATGTAAACCAAGGATCCAGCAAAACAAATCCCCATTGAGATCTAGGGATGGATGATTGCATCATCTTATCTTTTGTACACAGTGGCCTTTCATGTGCTCATTGGTTCCCTGTATGCTTCCAGCCAGAATAAGTTCCCATCTTTTTTCTTGTAGAGATGGTCTTTTAGCAATAGTAAATAAATATCAGAATGACTACTACAAAAACCCTGGCATCTATACCAAGATTTGTGAAAAAAAATAGAGCTTTACATAGCAATAATTTAGATAGCAATCTAAATTTTAGAAAATGGTCACAACAGTTCCTCTGAAGTTTGAGCGCATGGGTAATGTTTTATTCTACCAGAGAGAAATAAAAACAGACATCCACACAGAAGGGTTTTGCATGAAAGTGCAGAGCAGTATTGTTCATAACAGCCAACGACCTAAATACCCATTCATGGGACAACAGTGATAAACTGTTGTAGCTATTACTATGGAATATCATAGACAATAAAAATGAACTATTGACACATGCTGAGCCCGGGTTAATCATAGAATATGATGTCTAGTAAATGAAGCCAATCACAAAAAGGAAAGAAAACATTGTGTGGTTTCATTTATTTAAAAAGCTCAATTTAGGAGTAATATTAAAAAAGAAACATGGGGTTTCTTTATGAGATAATGAAGACATCTTGAAGTTGGATAGTATAGAAAGCTGCACAACTCTATGAATATTTAAAGGACTATCAATCTGTAATTTCTGAAGGATTTTGTTCTATGTCTCATAGCAGATGTTTGGAGATACAATGTAATGAACACCAGCTGTGCGTATTACATATGAACTAGAGCACCAGACAAAGAAAGGGGCCGGGACACAAAGCCCAGGCTTAAGAATGTCCAGTGCTTTGATTGCTCTTGTTCTGAGCTCTCTTGGGTGAGAGCAATGACTCTTGTTCTGTTTCCTTAGTCAAGAAAGCATAACTGTCAGTGAACATTTTCCTGCCATGTTTAGTAAGTATAAATCTTCCATTTAGAAATGGAGCTGTCTGCAGTACAGTGGAGAGAATTACTGCTGAAAGCAGTTGGCTCAGCACACAGAAATCATTTAGTAGTGCCTTTGGCTAGAACCTGTCAGGTGCTGGGCTAAGCTTGGCAAATGTCCTACACGTTTTCTGGTGTGCTTAATATGTGAGCTATGAAAGACTAGTTCCTATTGGCCCTCTTTGCTGAGACACTTTCCCTGAGAGCATTGGCAACCCTGTTAACAATGTCCTTTTCTCTTGTTCTTATTTCACGAGTAGGTGGTTGCACTAACATCCCAGACATTCCCCATGCTTTCTGGCTGCATAGTTCCAAGCCAAAAAAAGATGGTGTGTATGCGGTTGGGACAGTGTTACGTTACCGCTGTCAATCTGGCTATGTACATGCTACAAAAGAGTCCATGACTGTGATTTGTCAGAAGGATTTCAGCTGGAGCCCATTCCAAGGATGTAAGGGTGAGTTTTGGATTGCAAATTGTGTACATATTAAATGTCTAAGTGACTGGACCTTGTACCTCAAATGAATGAAGTTTTATCACTTAAAATAAAATTTGAATACACTATTTTAACCAATGAATAAGTATTTAGTGCCAAAGGTGACCACACAGTTTCAGGTGCTAAGACTGTAAATCTTTCTGTAGGCCACTTTAGAATCAAGCAAAAGAAATAGCTACAGAAGCCATGCAGCATGCATGTTTAGGTTTCAGTTTCATGTTGGTGGATCTCTGGTGGAGCACACAGCTCAACTCATCAGAGCGAGACTCTACAGTATCTCCTTGCTCACATGAAGTCTCGGGGTTCTGGCAGAAGAAAAAGCCTATGAGCCCATTGTGAATTCAACCAGATACAAGTTGGCATGTTTCTTATAGTTCTTGAGCCACAGGTAGGTCAGCCTAACAGAGTTTCTTGCTTTGAGAAAACAGGTACTAACTCCTGACCTAGAATTCTCACCTTAGTAGTATAGAAAGGGGTTTGGCTTCTTTCACCTCTTTTGTCTATTTGTGAGAAGAAAAGAGAGGCAGGTAATTCCTATTTTACAGACCTCAGTAACATTTCTAAGAAAGAAACACTGTCTAATTTTTTTTTCTATCTAGCTAAAGCTTGGCATTTTATCAGGAAAAACAAAGACTTTGATTGCAGGGAATTTTTATGCTATAGATCAGATTGGAAAAATGTATGCATGGACACAAACAACACCATGAAGTGGTTTCAATCGACCTGTCAGTGGAGTGTCCCATTTCAGAGCTTAGGGACGAGGCAGACGAAATGACTCATTCCGACAAAGAAAATGAAAAACAAAACAAAACAAAACAAAAAACAATTAACGGACCATGCAGAAACTTTAGAATTACTATAAGAAGGCCAAACATACAAACATGAAGTCTAGAAGATGAAATTTATCCTTCATATGCAGATGGTGGCTTTGTATCTTTAGATATGTGTTTAAATTGTAATACCCATAGTAGTTAGTAAAATATGAAGGGTCAATGACAAGGAATTTTAATGGAAATGAGAAAAAATACAGTTGATATGAAAAGGGGAATGGCAGATAGTGGAACAGGAAACATTAAATGGCAGGGGGAGGACAGGGTAGAAAAGAAAGTATGGGGACACATAATACTAAAGACTTTTTAAAAGCCACTTGGAAACTCACTACTCACTACTATAAGTTTCCTAAACATATACAGATACACACACACACACACACACACACACACACACACATATAAAGAGTTTAAATGGAATTAGCCTGTAATGGGGATGGAGGAGGGCAGGGCTTCTTTGAGGTACCATAGACTATCAAATAAAAACCCCAGTGCTGGGTATGGGTTACTTCTTTAATAGGTGTTGGTCAGTGGGGCGCCAAAGATCCCTAACATTAGTAGGTGATTGCCAACACTCATACTTGACTCATAGGACATGGAAAAGTCAAGTTTGTATCCACTGGGATAAGTTAGCCCTCGTGGATACCTTTCCTAGAATTGCAAGGTGATATGCGCACTTCTGGGGGAAGGAAGATCACTATTAGTCTTACCCAGCTGTGAACTCTTGCAAACTATAATAGCCACTGGACTGGCAAGCTATGGCACCTTGTGCAATAGAGAAATAAATGTTGCAGGGGTAACCAACCACCAACCACTTTCTGCTTGTATTTAGAGACACAAGACAACGCCGTTAGTAATTTTTTGCTGCTGGGAAATGGAGAATCAGTTTTTGTTGTTATTTTGTTCACGGATGCAGTCTCTGATAAGCTACCCATGCCTCAGTAGATGGCTCTATACCTGTGCACATGTTGAAAGCATTAAGTAAGCTCAGCATATTAAAAAATAAACATGTAATTGAGTGGAAATAGGGGATAGGGGAGAAATTATTTGCCAGGGACCAGCCTCAGTCAGTTGTGGGTCTCAAGATTGGGAGGAACGAATTGGCTTCACACACAGGGGCAGGTACAAGCTGACTGATGACTCATTTCAAGAGGCAGTTTCTCTGACGTCTGCTCATGCTTTTTTTTGCTCTCTCTTTCTCTCCTTTCTTTTTTCTTTTCTTAGAGCAGAGAGTCAATCCCAGTCTTTGATTGTTAAATCATTTCCTTTTACATTTTTTTTCTATATGTTCAAAAATCTTTTTGTCTTTCCCCAAAATACTGGCTTTTCTCCAAAGACCCACAGATGAGAATAAACAGAATATAGCAAGCTGTACTCTATATACATGGTACAGTGACTGTACCCAAAACTCACAGAACAGAACAGAATACAGCAAGCTGGCCTCTACATACAGGGTCCAGTGATTGCATTGCAAGCAAGCAAGCACTTTGAATCATTGATTCAGTGCTTTTCTCAGACAAACCTCTACATCATAGTTCACCTGGGCAAGATCTTGTGGTTACAATAAGTGGCATAAGAACAAAGAAGTGCTAAACAAACAGGACTATTCTTAATTCGTAGCTTCTGTTTGTAGCTGAGCAACTTCTTTCTGAGCACAGCAAGTTTCGTCTAGTTTGCGAAATCAGTCAACTAGCATCTGTCTTGCTGTTGGTAACTTGAAACATTAACATGTCTGTTATTATGAAGACAGTTACCAATCCCTGAGATTTTTTCCTGGTCAGTTGAGTTATGTTTGCTCATCATTTTCTCCACTATTAGTTTTAGGGGTTTGTTTACTGTGGGACATGATGGATTCCTTCCTAGCTCTATTTTGTTCAGATATTTCTCTCATGATATTTATTATTTTCTGTGTTCTTGTCATTGAAAATGTCTAGCTCTTCTGTATAGTGTTCATTTACATGTCTTCTGAAGTACTAGCTTGGTGGTACTAACTGCTTTGGTTTGTGCTTGACTTGAAATATCTTTATTTCTCTGTTAGTTTCAAAAGATGGCTGTTATGGTCATTTTTAATTGCCAGCTAGAACCACCTGAGAGGAGCCTCTCAGTGAGGGATTGACTAGATTAGGTAGGCCTATTAGTGTGTACATCAGGGTGGGGAGGATTATTTTGATCATGTTCAGGTGGAAAGACCTCGATTGAGTATGGGTGGTAGCATTTTATAGGCCGGGCCCTGGGCTGAGGAAAAGGCAAGGATGAGCTGAGTGTGTGGGCATTTGTTCCCCTCTGCTTCCTGACTATGGTTGTAACGTGGCCAGTGGCTTCAAGTTCCTGCTGCCTTACTTCTTCACAGTGATGGCCCTGAAACTGTGAGTCAAGGTAGTCTCACCCTGAGTTGTTTTATCACAGCAGCAAGAGACACAACTCAAACAATGGCTTTGCTGGATATAGGAGTTGTAGTTGTTAGGTACTTTCTTCAGGGCTTGAACTATAACATCCCATAGTCTCCTGGCTTTTAGTCTCGATGAGTGAAAAAAAGACCTGATGTTTTTCTGATGTTTGTTTTGTTATAGGTATGTTCCCTTCCAGCTTTTAATATTGTGGGGTTTTTTTTTTTGGCTTTGTATATTTCATTCCTTGACTATAGTACACCATAGAAAAGGCCTTATCTTATGTTTGAATCTCTATTTCTTTCTAAATGCCTCTTAAGTTTTTATGTTTATTACTTTCTCTAGATCTGGTAACTTTTCTGCTTTAACTTCATTGATAGACTCTATGCTTTTAGTGTCTGTCTCCATTTTACCTAGTTTATATCTTTGAGTTCAGTAGTTGAGAAGTCACAATTTTTTTTTTTTTACCTTGGAAAAATTATTTTTCTTGGATTTTCATGTTTCCTGTGTTTCTGTGTTTCTCCTAGCTCATGGATTCTTGGGTTTGTTCCCTTGCTCATATCTCAGAGTTCTTGGATATTATAGTCACAGTCACTTTTCTTCTCATCGATATTTGTGATATTCCATCAACATTGTTCTCTCCCCCTGGTATCCTTTCTTCTACTTGTCAAGTAGTACTTGGTGATTCTTTCACTGTGTTTTTTTTTTTCTTTGATTCATTGAGGGGTTTTTTGTTTGTTTGTTTTGTTTGTTTTTTTTTTTTTAGTTTTGCTACTAGTATTTGGTTTTATTTATTTATATATATATTTTATTTATTATATTAACTACAGTTTATTTACTTTGTGTCCCAGCTGTAGCCCCCTCTCTCATTCCCTCCCAATCTCATCCTCCCTCCCTCATCTCCTCCTTGCCCCTTTTTAAGTCCACTTATAGGGGTGGTCCTCCTCCCCTTCCCTCTGATCCTATCTTATCAGGTCTCACCAGGACTGGCTGCAATATCCTCCTCTGTGGACTAGCTAGGCTGCTCTTCCCATGGGAGACAAGGGGAGAGGTCAAGAAGCTAGCCATAGAGTTCATGCCAGAGACAGTCCCTGTTCCCCTTACTAGGGAACCCACTTGGATACTGAGCTGCCGTGGGCTATGTCCGAGAAGAGGTTCTAGGTTATATCCATGCATGGTCCCTGGTTGGAGAATGAGTCTCAGACAAGCCCCTGTGCCCAGATATATTTGGTCCTTGTGGACCTCCTGTTCTCTCCAGGTCTTACTAACTCTCTCTTCTTTCACTGCACTTGATCTTGAGGAAGCACTATTCCTAATTGTCTGAGATAGCACCAGATTTATTTCCAAAGTGGTTGTACCAGTTTACATTCCCATCAGCAGTGGAGGAGGGTTCCCCTTTCTCCACAACCTCTCCAGGATTTGAGGTCAGTTGAATTTTTGATCTTAGCCCTTCTGATGGGTGTAAGGTGAAATCTCAGGATCGTTTTGATTTGCATCTCCCTGATGGCTAAGGATGTTGAGCATTTCTTTAAGTGTTTTTCTGCCATTCTACAATCCTCTACAGAGAGTTCTCTGTTTAGCTCTGTACCCCATTTTTTAATTGGATTACTTGATTTGTTGCTTTTTAACTTCTTGAGTTCTTTATATATACTGGATATTAGCCCTCTGTCAGATATGGGGTTGATGAAGATCCTTTCCCAGTCTGTAGGCTGTCGTTTTATTTTGACGACAGTGTCTTTTGCTT